AAAAAAATGTTTTATTATTATTATTTTAACTTATTACTTAAATAATCAATTACTAAAATACAGTTTAAATTGTTGAAATTATTTCTAATTGGGATTAAAATCCAAACTAGCAATACTATTGCATGGTACTAATTTTTTTAAACAAAAATAAAGAACAAAATTATGAAATGGAACACTCAACATCTGTTAGTCCTAAGGAATCTTCTAAGACATAGGCAATTGCTCTTATAATGTATGACATTGTTCCGTAACTGCCACTTGGGGCACTGTCATAGAAGTGTTGACAAATATACGCAGCACCTCCACATAACAGTGAACCAGCTTGAGTGAGTTCCTTGTGCACTTTTGCACAACATAGGGTGGCATCTCCATTAATAGCAATCTATTATGAAATAAATAAATAACAATGTGTGAATATGAAATGTTTTTTTWWWWAAATTGAACATACTTGATCTTGTAAAAATAATTCATTAGCTTTGTGCACAAAATCTTCAATTGTAATTATTCTATGAGGAGTAGGCGAAATTTCTTGTTCAGCATAAAGTGTAAATATCATCAATGTCTCGACTATCAATTGTCTATATTCTGGATGTGGGATCCAATTCAGTACAGTCTCTACAGCTAAAGCAAATTTCAACTCACCAGATGTCATCTAAGGTAAGTATAAATATGTAAATTTAATATTTAAATATTATGTACCTAATTAAAATATACAACATACTTCTTGGGTTAAGCTTTGTGATAAAAGTTTTCCATCAATAGCTATTCCACAACACTAAAAAATAAAAAACAATTTTGTTACTTTTCAAACACTTTGTTTTAGATCAGGATGATTATTTTTTTATGATTTAAGGCTTGACGATTGTATTTGTACCTTTTCTAATATTATCCAAACACGTTTATAGAATTCTCGAGGTACTCGATTTAATGCTCCRTCTAAACGTCTACGCCGTAACCACTGGCCTTGACGATCACTCTCTAATGCTTCACTGTTGACCTCCGATTGATCAGTCAACAATAATCCTTCAATTTGACTTTTCTAATAAATACAATTGTAATTATTAATTTGTGTGTTASTCATTTAAACGTCATTGGTAGCATCTATTACTTAAACCTCATTGGTTGAGTGGGCATGGTAAGAATTTCTCTCAATTACTGTTAAAATTTGTAATATCGTAAGTACTGATCATATTGGACAAATACTGACAAYTGATATAGTTAGTTAAAATTTCTATTGATGTTCAATAATTTTTAAATAATATCTTACTGATTAAGTATAAATATACGCTTGAGTAGTTAGGACAATAAACAGATAAAATAAATACTGGTAAATTAAAATTGAGAARAAAATATTTCAACACTCGACAAATGATGGGTTAAGTAGAATTGTATTATTATTTACCTTACTGACATGACTTGATTTGTAGCTAACTACTGAAAAATTACCACGTCCCACTAAAAAATMAAATCAAATTCATTAAAACAAATTATTTTAATCACCATTTTAACAAAAAAATATAATATTTTACCACTACTTAATATAAATTCTTTTCCACTCATGATATGATGTAGTAGATTTTTCATCTCAAACGGTGATAAATTAAATAAATGTTCAGAACCTTCTTCTCCAGAACAATTTAAGGTTCTAGATAATTCMCCTGCCATGACTTGTATAATCAAACCAACTCGAAGTCTTAACATTTCCAAGAACAATTGTGGTTCAGTTCTTACAAACATGGCCAAATAAACTAAAAGTTCCTAAATGTTGTGATACAAAATGGATGTATAAATAAATTAAAAATTATCAATTAATAAAATTTACCTGCGTTAACATGGCTGTACTTTCATCATCTCCATAAGCATCATGAATTACTTGTCGCAATTCTCCTTCAGGTAAAGGTGTTGATATTGTATGCTCATTAAATGGGGGCATACCAATAGTCACCTGTTTTAAATRTTTGTTATTTATTATTTTTAACATACTTCTTCAAAATAATTTTTTATTTGTTTTCATTTACCTGTTTTTGTCGAACTAATAGATCTGTTAAAGCTTTAGCCAAATCTTCCACGCGCTTTCCTAACATTCCAGCTGTATGTCTGACTAATCCCCAATGGTTTTGCTGACATGCCTTTTCATAAAGTAATTTTAATAAATCYTTAACTAAAACTGGTTTACAGTCCTCCTTCATTCCTATAAATAAATTGAATAAAATATAAAAAAAAATTAAGTTTAATCACTTTAAATTTATATTTGAGTCAACCTGTATCATATTCTAAGCCATATGTGTCCACTAAGAATTGTAAAATATCTCCTTTTTCTTCTAAGTCTGATTCACTTAACATAGATAAAATACCATCCATTTCAGCTTCAGCATACAGTAACTCTGTACTTGCCCTGCAATTATGTTTAAGTTTAATTTGGATCATATTTGAATGATATTTACTTYAAAACTAGAATCAAGTTAGTTAATTAAGACAATAATATAAAGATAAAGCATATAAATAATAATAATTTATTTGTACCTAATCAATATTAGTTCATATTTCTTAATTTAAATGCTACATRAAATAAGTCTGTAATCAATAATCATATATACCTTTTAAAATTGCTAATGGAGTATAAATTATAAATAATTAAATCTTATTTTTCAACCTTTATAAGACTGCAACACTGTAGATATAATCAAATGCTTGTATTAATTGCTAATATTAAATAAT